CCAAAGTGTAGGTAAATAAAACATACATCACACAATTATAAACATTACTATCACATTAAAATACACTAACAACTCAAATGCATTTCAACAAAGTAGATTCAAAATCAAAGTCACAATTGCTGATATTGGTTGTACCAATGGATGGTATTATAACTCTTGCAATGAGTGAGGAAGTTCCTTACAATTCTGTGCTGAAAAGTATCAGTGCATGAAGCATGAAGAGAAGGAATGCTAGCCAATGTAAGTAAACTAACAAACTTTCATATTCATAATTCATATTATATAATAAATGAGGCTGCCACCTGTGTCTATAAGAATGCTTACAAAATTTAGTTAGATGTGTTTTTGTTTAGACATTGGGTATTTAGATAAAGAGTTTGGGCCATTTTTTAAGGCAAGGCAGGTAGTAAACATTTTCTTTGAATGCCTATACATTTCTTTTTCTTGCTTTCTATCTTGCCTTGCCATCGAAAATGGTGTTTCGACCTTCTCATGTGTTTCCTTCTCTCACTTTGTTTTTGCTTTGTAATAGTTTCTACCATTTTATTTTTCTATTCAATGTTGCTCTCTTTTACTAGATAAATTGCTTTGACACTTGTTTTTTGATATTTGGCTCACTTGGAGTATACTAGTTGAATATTTGCCTATTATTTTGTTGTTAATTACCTATGCTTTGAATCATGTTCAACATTTACATGTTTGCGATGTGACTTTTATTCTTACCCTATTATATATAATTTTCAGTGAAAGTACATATTCGTTTCTTCTCCAGAATAGTTTGTTTGTTTCTTTCAGCCAATATTGAAATGCTGAAATTTGATTTTATTTGAGATCACTTAATAAAATTATCTACACAATATGTAGCTAAATTTGATACTTAAAATTCTAAAAGCACAACAATCTAAACAACCAAGACCAAATAAACTAACATATCTATAAACTATGAAAACTTCAATTGCTTTATCCTTCAATTATATTCTCTCATACAGTCATTTATTTTTAATAAAATATTTTACAATTTTTGATTGACATTTTCTTAATTATCTATTGCGATAATTGATACTGTCAACAAAAATCAAACATTGTATTTCTTTTGCTATAGCTACTACATACAGCTTATTTTAAGGACAATACCAAACAGATGGATTAGGTGGCATTTGGAAAGCCAATAGAAAAATTAATTGGTGCAAACATTGTAAAATTGGTAGCATTACAAACCCTGAATCGAATGACTATACTAAGACCTATGAAAGCTCTAATCAAACAAACCAAGTTGTTCACTATGGGTTTAACAAGTAGAGCAATTGAAACAGGAATTGCCAACTACAAACTGTTTGAGTCTGATAACCTACAAGTCTTGAAATGCAATGCTTCAAGCTCTGTAGCTACTTCACCATCTATAACAACAACAGCACCAATGTAAGGACCAGAAGAAGAAACCTTGCCATCACTAATTAAAAACCAAGTGGTTAGAGAGCTTTTCCTAGAATCTACACCACAAAAACAAGCCACAATCAACCAAGCAGACAATTCACAAGACTAACTTTTGTTGTAGTTTACACCACAATAAAACACCCACCACCAATAGAGAGAAAGAATCATTTGACAAAAAATACAAAACTAGGTTAAATAATTAAATTTTTCATTTCTTATCTATTATAATCATTCAAAAGAAATTATTCTATCAGTTTAATACCTGAAATGTTTATTAATTCTTTGTTCACCATCTAATATATACTTCCTCCTTCATAAAAGTTCATTTCTTACCTTATAAACTAATCAACTATATAATTTTTTGCTTAATATATACTTCCTCCTTCATAAAAGTTCATTTCTTACCTTATAAACTAATCAACTATATAATTTCTTGTTTACTTTTTATGAATACAAAGCTCCATCGAAGCTGGCAACACATCCAAAAACAAAGCCATTGAACAATATTTACCAACCCCTTAATATTAACAAGACCTAGACTACAAAAAAACCTATGCCCAAAAGTGCCTTCTATTCTTGTTAACAGGCAGCATAATACATTAAGCACTACCATGTTAACTTTTGTTATTTTGTATATACATATGTGTGCACAAACAAGGCATAAGATTGCTTCTAGAAAAAAACAGAAGATATAGGTTCATGGATTTAATATCCATCAAGAACATTTAATTTTTGTTCACTTGCTAAAAACAATGGGATAGATTACAAAACTACCTTCCTTTTTTGTTCACAACAACAATAATGATTATGACTTTTGTATTTAAAAAACTATCAGCAGAAGCATGGAACTACAATATAATATTTGTCATCTTACTTTACTTTCTTAGGTTAATGGCTTATTTCAATGCATCAAACCAAAATTTCTATCTGTTTATAAACATTTAGCATAAAATGACCCATTTTCTAATCAAAATTGTAGCAAAAAAAATTTCTATACAATTATTCTTATAAAAACTTCATTCAAAATTTTTGTTGGCCTTGAGCGCATCGCACGGGGCACAATCTAGTATAAATAAAAGAAAGGACCAACACTATAGCCAAAGTATTGATACATTTTTGTTAGTGTTCAAAATTTTATATGTTGAGGTAAAAGTATCAATACCTTGTCTATAAGTATTGTTACTTTCAACCAGAGAGCAAAAAATTCCAAAACAAAGGTAAAAGTATCGATACCTCATATAGATGTATTAATACTTTAATGCAAGATTTGAAACACTTGTCTCAAAAGTATTGATACCTTAACAAAAGTATCGATACATGTAATCGTTGGGCATGAAATTTCCAACATAAGTTGATAGTCACCAAGGTTGAAGACACAAGCTGCTGTCTCACCAACTTCCTTACTCATAAAACACATAATAATAAGAAAAAAAGAAAAGTAGCCAAATGACTCTCACTAGGGCTCTATCTTGAAGTCTAGAAAGGCCCAACTATAAGCAAAAGAGTCATCACTGTATAGATGGAGAGAACCTCCCTTAGTTTCTTCCTCATAAGTTGCTGAACTAGATGTTGATTCAGCATTAGGATTCACGCCAACGAGCTGCATAATGTTTTCAATCTCTTTTACCACTTCACCCATTGTAGGCTTGTTAGCTCTTAATTCTTCTACACAAGTCATTGCCAGGTCCACAAACATTTCCAAGCCTTTGGGTGTTGTTGCGAAGCCAATGGATGTGTCAAGAACCTCTTGGAGATTATATAAACTTTTCGTTTTATCCATTGCTAGTCTCACATCTCTTACAATATATTTCCCTCGCTTTATTGGTTTTCTTGCAGTTATGATCTCCAACATCAGCACTCCAAAGCAATAAACATCACTCTTCTTAGTCAACTGTTGGGTCATATAATATTCAGGATCCAAGTAACCCTACAACAGTAAGAAAAATCATTCTTAGTACAGCACATACTATAAGCATAATAAACGCCTTATGCAATAGTCTTAACAAATCTTTAACCACTTCCCCTTCTCTTTTTCTTATGAAATTTGTTAAACTCAAATGCAGTAATTGTTGCATTTTTCTTTTGAAATATCCCAAATCATGCATGTGTATTATAGACATTTGACATAGAGGTATGCAAGGTGACAACATTTTGGACATAAGAGGATTAGGTATTTTTTAATGTTGGCTAATTCTCCTTTCCCTTGAAAATTTTTAACTATTCCTCATTGGCCCTTTCAAAAAAGTCAGATTCATCTAGAAAATTATTGTGTTTAACGTATTAAAACTACTATGATTATAGCAGATACTTAAATGTATAAATGAACTACAAATTCATCATCTATAAAGAGATGGGCAGGCGAGAGGGAGAGAATACCAGTTATTATGGAAAGAAAATAAACTGAAGCATCAATTACAAAAAAAAGAGAGTAAGGTTCTACCATTTAAAAGGATGAATTATTCTCTCCAGCAAGTGTATGGAGTAACTCACCATTGTACCTTTAACTTGAGTGGTAACATGACTATTTTCACTGTCACCCATAAGTTTGGAGAGACCAAAATCAGCAATTTTAGCATTTAAGCATTCGTCTAATAAGATGTTAGTGGACTTGATGTCCCTATGAATGATGGGAGGATTCACAAGCTTGTGAAGATATGCCAAACCTCTAGCTACCCCAAGGGCTATTTTAAGTCGCCTGGTTCAGTCCATTCAGATTCCCGACTTCCCTGAATTGTTAAAATATTATTTTCCAAAGAAGTAAAACATGAGTGAAGTAAAAGATAGCCTGTTAAACAACAACATAGGGAATTAACAAGTAAAATCATTCATCAGGGATTAATGATAAATGTTTTCTTGTAGTAAGCTCAAAAGGTGATTCTTTGTCAGGAAGATCTTATATAGGATATGAGATTGACAAATGGTTGGAAAGTCAAAACTAAAGAAGCAATAAAGCAATAAAGTTAAGTTCTCTTCCTCCTATAGACTAGCATTGTAGTGTAGGCTAATCAAACATTTTACTCCATTCCTTTGTGCAGTTAAAGGCATTGTTTGATAAAAAAGTAATATGGTCAGGTAGTGAAGAACTATAAAATGCCACTTAATTATTGATAGTGTAACTCATTTTGGATGAATAAAGTGAGCAAACAGAGGAAAGTACCTGATAGGCTATCACTTAGAGAGCCATTTGGAACATACTCATGTATTAGCATTTGTTCGCCTCGTCCAAAGCAAAATCCCAATAAACTGACAACATTTTTATGATAAACTTTTGATAGAAGCTCAATTTCTATTTGGAATTCATGCCCACCTTGCCTAGATCCTGGGTAAGCTCGTTTTATGGCAATAAGTTCCCCTGTAGGTAGATTTCCTCTATAAACCTGTAATTAAAGACATTAAGAATTATTTGGAAAAATAATTTTAAAAATCACCATGACCATGCTAAAGAGATCCCTGTTAGTAACAAACATAGTTAGAGACAGAATAAACTAAAACACAGATGAGTAAGAGCAAGGGTTGGAAAATAAATCTAGTCATAGTCTTGTTAATCACTTGGTCTATTCCAAAAGTTTGCAAATCGTGGGATGTGTTAATAATACGCGCATTAATATAGTATCATTGTATTGTATGGTTGAGATACCTTGAATGCATCAAAATTCATATGAACACAACATAGCACAAAAGGTATGCATAAATCATCGAATATGCGCATCTAGCTTACTATATGCGGATTGGCTGCCATCTACCTGCAATAATGTTTACCTAATGTTGAAAGAAGGAAGAGTGTTTTATGTCAACATAGACATATACTGTGATGCATAAGGTGTTTAGACATGCACAAGTGCAAACTACAATAAACATCTTACATATACCACACATGGATCACAGTCAACTATTGCAGTTAACATTTTAACTATGTAAGCAAACACGTTTTACATGTTCTTGAAGCACACAAATGTACAAATGTAGTTACTAATTTGTTTTTTGTTATTATCTCTTTCTATACATCCAATAATTCACTATATGGTTATCATCTTTTTTTTTCCCTTTAATTTTTTACATAATAACATTGTAATCTATTTAAAACTTCTCATCTTTAAAGTAAAAAGTTGAATGCAAACACAGTGTGTAAAAGGGATAGTGCTGGGGATGCCTCAAATGGAAGCAAAAATAAAAAGACAAATTTATTTCAGGTAAATAGTTATCCATATTTTTGAAAATCGTGCATTAAACATGTGCCTGTTTTACCACATTGTCTATTGCCTCGACCACTAAAAATAATACAGATTGAAAGAAAAAATTAAGAAAAAAACTTTAAAACTGAGTCAAACATATAAAATTATTTTTTATTTTTTATTTATATTAATTATTAAATAAAAAATTATTTTGGGAGAGACTCTTAAGAAAATTTAGAAAAAATTTTAAAAAATTTATGTATTATGTAAAAAAATTTTAAAATTTTGGAAGCGTCATCTTATAAGGAGGCTCGGCCTCTAGTGTTGTGCAGTAGTCAGGCAAACTTACAAACTAGCAACAAGACATGGAGTTATGCAAATGAGACCACCCCTATGCGGCCAAGGTGCCATAGGGATGCATGTTTTTGGTGAGCACACCTACGCACACACATGCAATAGAGAGCGAGAATGAGAGTCGAAATTAACCTTTCCATAGCCCCCCGATCCAATATCATTGGCTTCTGAAAAATTGTTTGTGTAGTGCTTAAGCTCTTCAAAAGTGAAGCATCTTGCTCTTTTTAACTGAGGTATGCTACCACTGCTCTTCATACGATCCCTGTGTGCTGTGCTTTAATAGAAGGGAATCAGTCATTAAACCCCAGATATTCCATACAATCAACTTGAAAAGGCTGGGTAAATAAAATACTTATCATACCAGAAGGATTGCTCTCTTTGGTTGCTCCTTCTGCTCTCTTCTTCTGACGATAAGCAT